CTGTTTCCAGGCATGAGGTCGGGTCGACGTCGAAGGTTGTGGTCCACCTCCGAAGGCGAGGCCTCAACAGTGACTTCCTCGTCGCTGCTCTCGTAGGCCATGATGTTGCCTGGGTTACCGACCATCCAGTCGAAGAAACAGAGGGGCTGGTTTCCCGGCGCTCCGTTCTCCACAGGCGTAAGCTCGATATTTCCGAGAACAAACCTGCGGAGGTACTCGAGGTAGTACGCGTAAAGCCCATGGCCGCACGCCTCGAGATCATCCAAATTGTCCATACTGCTAGCCCAAGTGAAGAATATCTGTTCCACAGCCTCGAAGTCATGGAGGCTCAGATATTCAATAGACGGATCACTTGAGCCTAACTGGACTTCGGCCGATCTACCCTTTCCATTTCCCCTCGCTGGACAATCCATTACAATATGGTCGGTACTATCACACTCATGGCACTTTAAGATCTGGCCGTCTCTACCTCGCGGGTTTCCCCGCCCACCTTCGCCTTTGCCTGAGGTCCCCCCACGGCCTCTTCCACTGCCTTTCCCCCGAAAAATATCTCATCAGACTGATCATATGAAACCTCTGGAGGAAAGCCGAGATGCCTCGTCCGTTCAACCTTCGGCGACCCCGTTTGCCTTTACCTTTTCCTTTGAAGCTCCTCCGAATCCCCCTCCTAACACGACGCACTGGTTTTCGCGTGAACCTCCTCCACCTACGCTTTGCTTATTGTAATAACCAGAACAGGTGTTCGGCACGCTGGTTGCCCCCTTCCAGTTGCATTCGAAGTCGTCGTTACCTAAGCAGGTGGATATCCCATCATGTAGGGGATTCGCTTCGCCGGTGGGGCTGAGGCTCTCTAGGAGGAGGGCTGGTTGCCCAGCTCGGTTGCGATCGATCCCCTGCTAGTAGGGCAGTAGATTATCCAGGATCGTCGGCCCATATGTTTGAGGGCCCGTTGCCGGGCTGAGCTTCAGTGGTTAAGGTAGTATAGAAGTTTCCAATGCCAGTTCCCCTTCCCCCTCCAAACGCTGATCCAATGTTGCCAGGAGACCATTCTGACACATGGCCTATAGAGCGCATCCTTTCACGCAGTTCGTCATGCTGCTGTTGCGTTCGGGGCATTTGGTGGTTGAGTGTCTGTAAGAGTTGCATGGCTCGCTGGTTGCCAACGCCTAGGGCGCGGAACAGAATAGTCGCGAGCAGTTGGAAGTTGGGGAGGTCAAAACCCACCGACTGTGCCTCAAGACGGGCCATCTCGAACCGAGTAAGGGTTACATCGATTCGTTCTCCGTGAGGCACGTGGAAGTCGATGGGCTGAGTGCCTGAAGTGAGCTGGCGCTCATCTTCTAAGCGTTCGAACTTCATGCTTAGGAGGAACCTAATATAGGTTACTGGGTCGGTGTGGACACCATCGACGCCCGCACCATAGTTTATGATGTCAGGTGGTACCCTCATGGCGAGTGTCCTCGCTAGGCCACCCAGGCCGCGTTGTATGGCGGCTGCTTGGGCTTGTGGCGTCATGCGTCCGCTTGCGACGTTAAGCCACGCGTTGACCTCATAAACGTATTCGCGGAAAAGTACGTTGCCTTGAGGGTCCCAGTATGGGCCGTGTGTTTGCCCATCTGTGTTATTGTCTCCTCGGCGCATGTGTCCGATTGCTGCCCCCAGCGCGAACCATATGATTGCGAAGATAACCAGCCCAAGGCTGCGAAGATATGGGTGGTTATCAGGCGCGTTGCCGCGTTGGGGTAGGGCTTGTAGCGCCTTGTCAAGTCTACGAGGCGCTTTATCTTGCGGGTCTCCCCGCCTATGCTTCAGGTACTGCGCTTTTGGCTCGTTGCCGAGCGGTTGGTAGTAGCGTAATGGTGAAGCGTATATGGTACCAATGTTGTTGTCTAGACGTCGTACCTCTCGTGTTGCTTCTTGCTCTTGAATTGATCCTCGCAAGCGTAGTTGGAGTGGTGGCGCAGGGTGGAAGTTGGTCACGAAGATCGTGCCGGATAGCGTGAGGATAAGAAGAGCAAGAGCTGACCACACGAGAGTGCGGCCAGCTCCGCTACCAAGTCTGAAATGACTCTGGCAGGTCATATAGCATCCAATTCCATGGCGAAGGAATACGATATGGGGAGTGGATGGATAGGATAGGATAAGATCGATATAATGATCTTTCCAGCACATAGCGAACACTAAGGTAAGTGTCCGGGCAAATAGGGCGCGCGTGCCTTGAGACAAAGGCAGCGGCGCGCAGGCTATACTCCCGATCCTCTATAACATCTCCCAAAGAGCTACCCTTAAAGTCTTCCGCCCAGCCGCTGCCAGCGGTTGAGCTGCGGCAGCTCCGCCCGCCTGATGGCGGCGGCTGGCACGGCCGCGCAGTGCAGGCCCGTGTTACGCCGCGCTCTGCGCAGGGTTCGCACGGCCTTCCCTGCGCCGTCGGGCTCTCCAGCCAGGACGCCCTCCAGGATCGGCGCCGCGAGCGCCATCCTGGCCACGAGCTCGCCCGCGAACGCCGCATTCGGCTCCGTGATGTCGCCCTCATCCTCCGCGAGGCGCACCGCCTGGGCCGCCGCCGCCACGTGCCGAGCCTCCTCAGCAGCGACGCGGGCCCGCAAGGCGTCAATGGTGGCCTCGAGCACCGAGATGCGGCTCAAAGCGGCAGACAGCCGCCCGTGTTCTGTGTGTTCTGCAGTGCTCATGTTTATTCTGCCATGCTCGTGTTTGTTCTGCCGTGCTCCTGCCGTGTTCCTTCGCTGTTGGAACCTATTATGCCGTGCTCCTCGTCTTGTTCTGCCGTGCGCCTTTCTGTTTGAAGACGATGTCGCAAATATATCATGTTGTTGAGGCTGTCTGCAGCGATTTCGCCATTTTCGGGACACTTCAAAAGCAATGTCAAGAAGATGTGAAGAACATCTCATGTTTTGAGGATGTCCCCAACGAAATGCTCATTCTCTGCCATGTTTTTTTTTCCGTCTGCCGTGCTCCTCCCGATTGTCTGAGGATGTCTGCAGCGAGAGCACCATTTTTAATATGACCAGTAGTGAAACAGTTTTTCCAACATGTCATTTTTGTGAGGATGTCTCAGGAGAGACACCAGTTTTTGACAATATGTCAAATTCGCGACTTCCCATGTTTGGGGGAAGTCTCAGGCGAGACGCTTATGTTTGATAGGATTGATGTTGCGAACGTGCCATTTGTGTGAGGATGTCTCAAACGAAATCGCCATTTTGGGTCGTGTCGAGGGCGCTCTTGGGGGTCATATTGGGGCTCGTTTGGGGCCCTTTGGGGCGGTATTGATGCCCTCCACAATCATTACAGAGCGATGATGGACACATTGATTGTTTGAGGATGTCCCTAGCGAAATCGTCATTTTTCGAAGGCTGTCTTGGGCCATCTGGAAGCCTTTTCCGGAACGATTCGAAGACGATGTTAGAACAGCAGGTCTCAAAACGATGCTGCTGAATTTGTTCATGTTTGAGGATGTCCCTGGCGAAATCGTCATTTTCGGCAGTCTCCAGGGCGCTCTGGGAGCCATTTTGGGCTCCTTTTTCGGCTTTCATTTCTTCATCTGGAAGCACTTCGAGAATGATGTCGAGACGATGTTGCGACATCTCATTTTTGGAGGATGTCCCCAACAAGATGTTAATGTTCTGCCGTGCTCTTTTTTCCGTCTGCCGCGCTCCTCCCGATTTTCTGAGGATGTCTGCAGTGAGAGCGCCATTTTTAACATGAGAAATAGTAAACCAGCTTTTTAATCGGAGGTTGGGGGGTGAGATCGAAGTGGAACGGAGAGCCCCCCTACCGGGAAATCGATTTCGGTTTCGTGTTCGTGCGTGCCGTGCGTGCGGGCGAGGCGAAGCTGCGTGGGCGGGCGAGAGGAAAGTCTCCTGTGGCTGAGGCGCGGCCGGACCAAATGATTCTCCACCGGGGCGCGGGGCCGCGCGGTGTCCCGCCGGTGTCCCGTGTCTGGCGGCCGGACCAAATGATTCTCCACCGGGGCGCGGGGCCGCGCGGTGTCCCGCCGGTGTCCCGGTGGTGTCCTCTGTGGCTGAGGCGCGGCCGCACCAAATGATTCTCCACCGGGGCGCGGGGCCGCGCGGTGTCCCGCCGGTGTCCCGGTGGTGTCCCGTCGGTGTCCCGTCGGTGTCCCGATGATGATGTTGATGATGATTATGATGATGATGGTGATGATGATGATGGTGATGATGATGCTGATGATGGCGATGATGATGGCGATGATGATGATGATGATGATGCTGATGATGATGATGATGTTGATTATGATGTTGATGTTGATGTTGATGATGACGACGTCGATTGTGAGATCGATTGTGATCGGAGGTTGGGGGGTGAGATCGAAGTGGAACGGACAGCCCCCCTACCGGGAATCGATTTCGGTTTCGTGTTCGTGCGTGCCGTGCGTGCGGGCGAGGCCCCGTGCACCCACCAGTACAGGCTAGGCTTTGCCAGCCGCTCTCTCCGAGCGCGCCCCGTTCCTTCGGGCGGCCGCGCGGGCTCGCCGCCGCGGCTGGAAGCGAATCGAAAAACTGGGGCGTCTGGGCCCGTGGAGTTCGGCCGTCTACATAAAAAGGGATACGACGACAAGACGCCGGCGCGGGCCCCTGGGAGGGGTTCCGGTTCCGTTTTGAGGTTGGCGCCGAGGTTCGGTCGAGGTTTCCTGGCCCTCGGAGGCCCTGCTCGCCGCCGCGGCTGGAAGCGAATCGAAAAACAGGTGCGTCTCGGCCCCTGGAGTTGGGCCGTCGACATAAAAAGGGATACGCCGACAGGATGCCGGCGCGGGCCCCTGGAGTCGTCGTTCGCCGTCGCTGTTGGAGTCGGCGTCGGTACGTCCCTGCAGGTTCCCTGGAGAACACCTGAATCGTTCCCGGGGCCATGTTGCATCATCATGCCGTGCTGTATGCTGTGCCGGCGTTGACGCCGTCAGACCGCAGCCCATCACGGTTCTGTGTTCGGAGAGTTCCCGCGGACCTTTGGCCGGTCCCGCGGCCATGGCCGCCGCCGCCCGCATGATCAGACATGCGCTGCCTGTGTCCCAGGGCCAGGCTTTGCCAGCCCCAGGGACAGAGGCACCCTACGCGGGCTCGCGCAGACTCGCGCAACGATACGAGTACAAGGGCACTTCCTTTCTGGGCATGGTGGAACTCCATCCTCAGCGCCTGCTGACTCGGGAGGAGTTCAAGACGAACTTGCTGGCAGCACCAGGCGTGCTGAAGGTCTCTGTGCTTCCAAAGATGTTCGTGGCCACTCGGCGTTTGGGTTGGCCATTCGGGATTTCGGGGGTCTTCGGGGGCCTCCTTGGGAGGAGCCATCTTGAGCCATCTCCGGTTATCTTGAACCATAGTGGAGGCCATGTGGGGTTCCCCGGAAATGCTTGCGAGGGTGGCCCTCAGGTCGTGGACACGAGCTCCAAGACCTCGCAGGGCAACCGAGGCGACCACGTCTTCGAGCATAACCTGGAAGTCCACCTGCACCGCGAGCCCCATGCAGCTCTGGAGTTCGAGATCACGCGGAACAACCACATGAAGCACATGGAGGGGCGCCCTTACACTGATACAGCGATGTTCAAGGACCCCCCCAAACGGCATCACGCGGCGGCGTGGCGCGTGCTCTTGCACGCCGTCAAGGGCCGGGAGCTCCTTCCACAGCATGCCCGCGACTACTGCAAGAGCTGCCTGACGAGACACGGTACCTGGGAAGACGACGTGCTCCCAGAGGGCCTGGATGGGGATCCCGCTTGAGCAAGGCTTTGCCAGTCCTGCGGGGTCTTCCAGCTCTCCGACGCAGGCACCAGGCCTTCCAGCAGCGCCAGGCCTTGCCAGCTCTCCGACGCAGGCACCGCGTCGCAAGCCAACGTTCCCGTATCCTTTCCAGAACGCTCCCGCGATGCCCGGGGGCCAGGCGACCGCCTCTGCGGCGCGGGTGGGACCCTGCCCCACCGAGTCGGCCTCAATGAGTCAGGGTGGCCGCGGGGTCCCGCTTGAACCAGGCTTTGGCAGTTCTGCGGGGGTGGATGCTTCCATAAATCAGGGCGGCGCGACCGGGCCTCCTGCCGAGAAGAGTAAAGCGGCGCCCGGGGGTGCCGCGATCGCCCCTGCGGCGCAGGTGAGCGGAGGGGCGCGTCAGGCCTCCTGCCCGGAGGGCCTCAACTACTGCGAGGCTGGGGTCACGGAGCTAAGAGCGTTCGAGCGGGACGGGAACATTGCGTCGTTGGTCAAGGCCCAGGACCTTCTGCTCAAGGGGATCGAGCGCATCTCGGACGTCTTGCCTGAGGGGCGCGATTTGGACGGCACCGAGTGCGAGGCGCTAGGTGCGGAGTTCAACCGCTTCGCGGAGATCGCGGAGGATGCGCGCGCGCATGCGGACCGAGTTGGAGGCGGCAAGGAGGCCAGCGGGCGGGGAGCAAGCGGTGGCAGGCGAAACCCAGGGGTCGGGGCCAGGCTCTGCCAGCCCGGCGACCCAGGGGCAGAATAACCAGGACGAGGCGGATGCGGAGAAGACGCCGCCAGGGTTCGACCCCGAAGCCGATAGGACAGAGGATACGGCGGACGCGCACCAGTTCGACATCGCGGCTGACCTGCGCGAGGAGCTGGCCGAGAAGCCCGATGGGGGCCCGGCCGCCGCCCGTGAGTCCAGGGAGGTCCGCGCTGCACTCGGCGCCGAAGTTCTTCCCATCCCGGATTTTTTGAAGCTTGTGCAGGGTCAGCCGATGGCCAGCAACGCCGCCCTGGACGATGTTCGTGCTATGAAGAGTCGCGGTGTGGAGCACGTGCGGTACCGAGTCATCGATGAGCCCGACGATCCCGAGGCGCAGGACAACATCGACAGGATGCGCCGCGAGGCCTGGGAAAAGCACGAGGAGCGTCGGAGGACATGTGCCCGTGGCCTGGACACGCGGGACATGTTCTTGGGCCGCGAACTGGTGTACGTCAAGCTGGTCAGTGCCGGCGCGGCGCCCATGACTCCGAACGAGTTTTTGAATGCGGCGTCTAAGAGGTCTCTCTGCGTCAAGGATCTGTCGCGGCCACCTCCAAACACGCAGGCACGGGAGGGCCGCTTGCGCATGCTCGCGCTGCGGGAGCATTACCAGACGTTGTTCAAGGAGCTCCCGGATAAGGCAGCGCAGAAGTTTTCGCCGAACCAGCTGGGGGACGACGATCCATCGAAAGTGCTGGTGGGTTTGGTCAATCACCACTCTGGCGAAGTGGTGGGGCTGGACGGGTGCAGAACGCAGTGGTGCCTTCGCAAGGTCGCACCAGGCATTGCCAATGCCGCGCAATTCGAGAATCCACAATTCTGGCGCGTGCAAGGTGGTTACACCGTGGGACGACGCCCGGAGGGGCGGCGCGAGCACGGCCGGCGCGGGTCCGAGCTCTTCGCCAAAGCCGTCGACGCACAGGCCCAGCGCGAAGCCGCCGCCGTGAACGAGGGCGAGGACATCAACCCACAGGTCTGCATGCCCGCCAAGGCCCGCCAATGGAGCAGGGTATGCGTTCCGTGCGAGGCGGTCGAGACGCACGAGTGGTGTCGGCAGAGCCCCGCCACGACGCTGGGGGGCTCTTCTGGGACGGGCCAGACGCACACGGCCAAGGCCATCTACGCCTTCTACAGGACGCTCCGGCTGGTCGCGTTGAAGAGGGACAAGAACAGTTCCACCAATGCGAGCAGTGCGCCAGGCTTTGCCAGCGCATCTCGGCCAGCCGGGTCGGCAGCTGCTTTCGGTTTCACAAGGTGCGACCTCCAGGCGCCCCGCATCCGCGCAGATTACTCGTGCCCAGCGACCAACCGCGAGGTGCTCGTGGAGGACTACATAGAGGCGGTGGGCTTGTCCATAGCGTACGTCAGCTCCAAGACCAAGCAAGAGTTGCTGGACGAAGCTGCGAAGTGCGCGACGTTGGTGTTGCTTCGGGACATGCGCCCGCCGTGGCTGGATCACGTGTTCCCCCAGGCCTTGCCAGGGGATGGCTTGTTGTCCAAGTTCACCAGACCGTCTTTCCTCTACTGGGACGCCAGCTTCCTCGACATGCTTTGCAGCACCGCTCTGGGAAGCGATCTCAACGACCAAGCGGTCAGCGTCGACTACCAGCTGGCGGGTGTCATCGCGCGCCCCCTGTATAAGTGCACGCAGATCGTCGACGCCAGCACCGGAGCAGCGTGCATGAACGTCGCGTCGATGCCACGGCTTTTGCGGGACACCGCGGGTCGGGGCCACTACGCGTGCAAGGAGTGCGCCGAGAGGAAACAGGGCGCCGATGAGACGCCGGGCTTTCCCAGTGTTGCCCTTCGCACCCTGTACTTGTACCCCGCGGTGTTCGGGCCGGATGGCGAGCCCACGCCGCTTCGCGCGATGGCGCCCCATCGCGCGTTCGCGCGCGCGCCTCCGGAGAATTGGGGGCGAGGCGTCGAGCGAGTCCAGCGCCGCGCGGTGGCCCAGGCGAACCCCGCGATATCCACGGCCACGCCGACATGGCACACTTACAACGCGGAGGAGAGCGAGGCCATTTGGATCGCATCCCGTGCGTACAAGGCCACGCCGCCGAGCAAGACGTGA